TTTCTTTGTTTGGTCACAACAGGAAATTCACCTGGAAATGATAGCATTTAATTCTGATTGGTGGTGCAGCACTCAAGCAAACCTTGATGATTTTTTATTTGAATGTTATTTGCAGACAATTGAAGATGTGGTTTTAGATATACTGTTAGCAAAACATTTGTGTACTAAGAACTTTAAATTCAGACCAAATATCCAGTGCTGTTTATTGGCTCAACTGGTAATTCGCCATTCACTGTCAAGTCGTCAGGCATCCCATTTATCCTGAATACAGTATTATAAAGTCAATACTATATTATTACTTTCTCCTAGCGGTGTGCAGGGTTGATGAAATTGAGTAGTTTGCCCCAGTAGCCCTGGCACAAACATTTAGATACATGATCATGTATACACTGCAGTTGCTTGACCCTTTATCCTTACTCGAACATATAAAAGTCAGAACGAATGCCTGCATAGTGAGAAAGAAATGCGAACATTAGCTATACTTGTAGTGTAACCATTGAGTTTTATTGTTAATGTCATTAAACAGTATGTCACGTGACTAACCACGGGTCCGGGTAGTCATGTAGGTACCCGAGTCCTACTCTGGACCCACCCGACGAGAGTACCCGAGTTACCCGTCCAAGCCCTAGTTGTTGACCTCTGGTTGGGCAACAGCAAGTTCTTTTGTGATCAGGAAGTTACAATGCAAGGTATAGATCATCTAATGTATGTATGTGTAAGCAGCTGCGTTAATACATCTTGTTAATTAATCACGATTAAATGTGTTGTTATGATGTAACACAACAGTTGGTCATAGAATAGAAAATCAGTTCAGTACTGGTATCAGTGCACTTAGATACGTGTTAAATAGTGTGACTGTTGTATGAGTAATAGACAGATACTAGTATCTTTGCTTTTAAACTGACGTCCAATAGAAACTTTACCAACTGAAAATATACATTTGAGACAAAATATAAAATTTTCTTTCGATGAAGTCTATCTAAAACACATAACCTAAATACAACAATAGTGTATGCTGAAAATGTTAATCGTCTGTTACATGTTTGCGAGATAACACGCGAAAAAGTGAAAAGCACGTGCACCACGGACAACTGCAAATGCACGTGCGGGTTAAAGGTATAAAACAATTGCAACAGCAAGTCAGACATCCACAGTGATAAAAAAAAACACAAAAGAAATACCACGACTCACAGTCGAACAACGTGAACGAGCCTTGGGTATGGTACAGATGGGAGCCACCCACGCCCATATTGCACGAACCTTCGGTTGCTCCCGTGTTGCCGTTACCAACTTGATGCAACGTTACGGACGGACAGGGCGGACCGCTGACAGGCCAAGAACAGGCATACCCAGGGTGACCACGCCCCATGATGACCGGTACTTGCGTACCTTGCACCTCCGAAATCGCTTCGTGACAGTGACGTCATCGGCGACAAATGCCTTAGGTCACAGGGTTAGTCGACAGACAGTGGCCAGGAGACTTAGGGCTCATGGAATCAGGGCTTTTAGACCATACAGAGGACAGCTATTGACAGCGCAACATCGTGGTCTGCGATTGAGATGGGTCCGGACTGTACGACGTTGGCAACGACGTGACTGGCAGAGGGTTGTCTTCACTGACGAAAGTCGATTCTGTATGTTTAGGGCTGATGGAAGACAACGTGTTTACCGCCGAAGGGGTGAACCATATGGTGGAGGGAGTGTCATGGTGTGGGGAGGGATTTGTGGGCAGGAGAGGACACCGCTGGTCATCGTTGACGGAAACTTGACAACTCAGCGTTACATGGATAACATTCTTCGTCCAGTTGTCCTACCATTTCTCCAACAGCAGCCACGTGGTGTCATTTATTAACATGACAACGCTAGAGCCCATACATTTTATCACCTGGAATGGTCGTCTCCCATTTTCCCTCTTGCTGCAGCACCGGTCTGAAAAGAACGGTTTATTAGCCAGACAAACCAGTGATTGTTATAATGAGCCACGCCTCACAACCTCTGTCAGAGTACAATGACGCACAATCATGTTAGTACAAACATAGTACTTCGGTTTTCGATCACCATTTTATTCTCTCTCATTGTCAAAAACTTTCAGGGAACCAAGTATCATATGAAATGTATTTATTACTACGTTTATTGAACATAATACAGTTCAATATCGTTATATATAGTTCTGTAGTATGGTAGCCTACATGGCAACATATGGAGATCGAAAACCGAACGAATATGGTTGCTATCAATTTCATTGTATACTCAACAACAAAAGTTCCTGTGACACCAATATTTTAGTGTATTTTTCAAACAAGTAAAGTTTGGTTTTCAATATTGTAGTACACGTATGGAATCAAGCCACAAAAACGCAACTTCTACAGAAAAGCATGCATTCCATGCAGAAGTTTATTTTTATGCAATCCCCATGCATTTCACTACCCAATAATGGGTATAAAAACATGTGCGTTAACGGGATTCCATATGCATTGTTTAGCATCGTGCTGACAACAACCACTCAGAAAAACAACAAAATTAAGCAATTATTCAACATTACGAAATGCCACGCCTGTCCGAAAATGAGCGTCTGCGAGCCATTGGTATGCTTGAAGAAGGATGGAGTCAACGTGATGTTGCAAGACAATGTAACGTCCACAGAAACACCATTTGGTGTTTATGGCAACGTTGGCAACAGATGACTGCAGTCAGAAACCATCGTCGGAGTGGAGGCCACGCGTAACCAATAATCGACAAGACAACTGGAATCGAACAACACACCTACGAAATCGATTCCAGCCAGCAAAAGTGACTGCAAGATGCATCCCTGGCCTTCGACGAATATCTTCACAAGCCGTACGTCGCCGCCTCAGATGTGGAGGGACTGTCGCCAGAAGACCCGCCAGACGTCCCATTTTGACAGGAAACCATCGTCAAGCACGTCTACAGTGGTGCAGACAGCGTCTACGCTGGACGGCCATGCAGTTGGGACAAGTTCTATTCATTGAGGAGTCTCGTTTTCACCTCGGCCACAGCCATTGACGGATTCGAATGTACCGACGTCGAGGTGAACGTTACGTCAATCATTGTGTCACGGAAGAAGATCGGTTCGGGGGCGGCAGCGTTATGGTATGGGGTGGGGTTACAGCAAGACAGAGGACCCGTTTGATAGTGGTAGAGGGAAATCTCAATGGACAGCCGTTTTTGCGTCGTCATGGCCCAGGCATTACCTTTCAACATGACAACGCCCGGCCTCGTATTGCTCGACTTGTTCAGGATTCTCTTCAACAAAACAACGTTAATGTCATCCCCTGTCCGTCTCGCTCCCCTGATCTCTCACCAATCGAGCACATGTGGAATGAAATGGATCGGCACCTTCGACGTCAACCACTCCAGGAACTAGGAAACATGCTCCAGCAGATATGGACAGATATCCCACAGGACTTTGTGCGACGCCTGGTCCATTCCATGAGACGAAGATGTGTTGCTTGCATCGCAACCAGAGGTGGACACACACGCTATTGATTTGTAAATTGACATTTTGGCATGTTCATGTTTTTTTAAGAAATCACGCAAGTTTCTGCAGTCAGTATGGCAAATTAAACCATTTGAACACTTACAGGAGTCTTTTATCTGTTGCAAACCGAAATTGTTTCAGATTTGGTAAAAAACATAACTTTGCATGAAATCTTATTCAAATGTCACAGGAACTTTTGTTGTTCAGTATATTTTTCATTGGTGCGCATTGGCTACACCTCTCTCACCTTAATTATCAACCACTGATGACCACCATAGTAACAGGTGGCGCTCATGTCGACAGGTCGCACATGACAATCTTCCGAGCAAAATCCATCAAAATCGTAACTAAAATGGCCAATCTAAGAAAAAGCCAAAGAGGTAAAGGTGAGACTGAATCTCAGCAAGCTACTCAGCAAGTTAATTCAGTGGACCAAACATCAACGAAGTCAAAATCGTCGACTGATAGCGACACTACCCCGACACCTGAGAATCCAGCGACATGTTGGTGAGCATGTTCGATGACATGAAAACATTCATTAAGGATTCACTCAAAAAGCAAACAGATGAAATCACTGGCAAAATTGATAAAGTAAACAATGAAGTTACCAAAATACCATCTAAAACAGAAGATATTCTGCGGTCAGTCGAGTTCAACTCCGAACAGATAAACGTAAATGTAATTCAAATGTTGAGAGACGAAATGGCACAGAAGCGAAATTATTGACACAAGAACTTTACTGATCTATGGTATACAAGATGAATTAGACCCTGAAACATCGTGCAGAAAATTGTTCACTGACCTGGGCTTGCAACGTGCTGACGAAATTAACTTTGTCAACATCAATAGACTACCGCGCCAGAGTACAAATCCCTATACAGCTCAATCACCAAAAACCATCGTGATAAAATTTGTCAATATGAAGGACAGGCAATTAATCTTGGATAAAGGTTTCCGAAAAAACGCTGTCCTGCGTGAGAGACAAGTCTCAATCCGCACGGACCTTCCTGTACCATTGAAAAAACTCCGTGGTAAACTAGCGAGTAAGGCCTACGAGCTTCGCAAAAAACACCAAGTCCAGACACGGATTCAGGAAAAAGCGCTAGATATCACGCTCCAGTACAGGAAAAATGCAGACCGACCGTGGTAACATATCCGTCTCGATGAGGATATTGACAACTCTCGGCTGTAGTAAACAACGATGGCTGCACCAATCCTGAGTGCTTGGCTTTGTGATAGTGTGTAATGCAAAGTACAGCGCCACTACGTCTTAAATGTATCCATACAGTGTAACAAAGATGATGTGCGGTAAAGTATGCACCTATTGTGACTTTGAGAAGTTATGATAGAATGGCCTTCAGTGACACTCGTATTACCACTTTGATTTGAAGTTTGTTTACGTTGCTATTTATAGAATCACATGAGTGTCATGTGACTAAACGTTTTCATAAATTCCCACTTTATCCTGAACCTAGCGCACATGAAACTTACATTTCCTTGTTCGTGAGATTATGTATCTCTCTTGAATCTTAACACCGACTGAAAAAGGTGTATGTCAGGTAGAATCAATGTTATTGAATTTTGACGTATAGCGCTATAATTATCTATGAGATGTACCGGAACTACAGATCACGTGATTTGTACACTCCGCAAGGAACAGTGGGGCATAATGCCGACAAGTGAGTAGCGGTATCTTGCTACCTGTATTGGTGTATTGTCAAATAGGTTTCGATAATTGTTCGACTGAAGATAATATCTGAGAACTACGTATGATTTATGATGTCATTAGAAACATATTGTTGTGTTGACATCTCTCACATCACCATGTTCACACGTGAGTTACTTCCGGGTGCAGACTAAAACGGCACCTCAGGAAAAAGGTCACCGATATCTCTGGCGAAAACGGCACCGCACTTGGCGAAAACGGCTACTATGTGTCGGGCGAAAACGGCACCTCTATTTATAATAACGATAACAACGACTTTTGTAGTGATATATATGGTTTATTTACATGGTATTTGATGTATTTACATGTCATTTGATGTATTTACATTGTATTTCCTGTTTTCACAGATAAGTAAATATGTTCATATATACAGTTTTGTGGCATGTCCATCGTCATCATCATCCTGTTCACAATATTCAACTTTTCAACTTGTAATTGAGAGCTTATTGTAAATTACCGAGAACAATTACACCAATCAGTTATAACAACAATATTAATACCTCAACTCGGATAAATAATTGTGATCTGACAGCACCATGTTAGGCCTCTTAAATATAGTTTCAGCTGAAATTGACGTTTTGCTGAGGTGCTGTTTTCGCTATAACCCGTTACTTCCCTTGCTTGGCCTAGTTTGAAGACAGGTCAGTTGATGGCTATATTAGCACACCCAATTCTGGTCATGGCAATATTGTTTGATTTATAATACCCATGATGGATATAGCTTGTGGAACCGCTACCCTATCTATTTTGTTTTTATTATCACTGTATGTTTTCATACAATCTGTTTTTCCCACAAAGTTTAAAAACATTCAATTCAGTAGTTGATGAACCAATGTATGATATAAATAACAGCCTTGACAACAATATGAATCTGTTTAGTTTGGAAAACACTGAATATGGGTGTCAAAATAAGAATAGTATCAGCAAATTGCAGGGGCCTAGCAGATAAATGGAAACGTAAAGAAGAAATGAACCTATGGCGAAAGAAGAAATTTTCTATAATATGTCTACAAGACATTCATATTTCTAAAGAAGATGAAACATTAATGAGAAATGAATGGGGAATTCAAAGTATAATAGCGCCTTACAAGTCAAATGCAAGTGGAGTTGCCATTTTGTTAAGTAATACTTTAGAAATATAAATCCATAGATTTAAACAAGATATTAATGGAAACTATATAATAGCAGATATCACAATAGAGGGCATAAGGTTAACTCTGAGTAATATTTATGGGCCAAATCAAGATGAACCTGCTTTTTACAATGCTTTGTTCAATAATATTGACGAATTTGAAAACGAATCAATGGTTATATGCGGAGATTGGAACTTGGTCCTCAATCCAGATGCCGATTTTGAAAATTATAAGCATATCAACAATCCCAAAGCAAGAAAGTTAGTACTTGAAAAAAAAGAAAGCTTTGATCTAATTGATATTTGGAGTGAAAAAATCTAGATGCAAAGAAATACCCATGGTGAAAGAAAAAGCCTCAACAACACGCTAGACTTGACTTCCTTTTGGTCTCACAAGACATTGCAAATGTAACTATTGATTCTACAATTATACCAGGATACAAATCTGATCACTCTGCAATAACATTGACTTTTTCAAATACACTAAGCAAAGAATTAAAGAGGTAGGGGCTACTGGAAGTTGAATACATCTTTAATGTTTAACAATGAATATATCTAAATAGTAAAAGATACACTAGAAGAAACATAGCTAGAATATTAAATCAGTGTCATTACCTGTATACCCAAAGGCACTAAAGATAAACAACTACTCAAAACTGGCGACCAATTTCTCTCTTAAATTCATTGTATAAAATGAATATAATAATATAAGAAAATGGATATACATACTTATAAATAATGCTTCATCTTGCATCATACAAAATGGACACCTATCTACATTCTTCTGGAACAAAAGGGGATGTAGACAAGGAGACCCATTGTCTCCATATCTATTCCTGCTCGTTGCAGAAACGTTGGGAATAATGATTCGTGATAATAATGCAATAAAAGGTATCAAACTGAATAATGTGGAACATAAACTTGGACAATATGCTGATGATACTGAAATATTTCTAGATGGGACTGATGAAAGTTTAAGTACAGCGATTGACACCCAAAATGATTTTTATAAAATGTCAGGATTAAAATTTAATATTGATCAAACAAAAGCAATATGGATAGGCTCAATGACAGGCTGTGACATAAAATTATGTCAGGATCTGAAACTAGACTGGCACAGTGGGGACTTTGAAATATTGGGAATAAAGCTTAATTCCAACTTAAATAATCTGTGGGTTATCAATACAAAGAAGAGAATTGAAATTATTAATCAAATTTGGGGGAATTGGAGGAAAAGAAATTTAACATTGATAGGTTAATTTACTGTTGTCAAAACCTTGGCCCTGTCAACATTAGTGCATATAATTTCCTCTCTTCCAAACCCTCCAAGTGAATGTATTGATGAACTAAACAAAATATTGTACAGATTCACCTGGAATGATAAAAGGGATAAAATAAAATGAACAACTTTAATTAGAAAATATGACAAAGGCAGACTGAGAATGATAGAGGTAAGGTATTTTATAATTTCTCTAAAAGTATCAGTTCTCAGAAAACATCTCCAAAACAAAAACTGTAATAAACCTGGCATCTTTCCACCCAAAAACATATTCCTACATGGGGCCAATATTGAAAACTGTATACACTTAGCTAACCCTTACTGGAGTGATGTTTTGGCTGCTTGGGGAACACTGTATAGAAGACACACAAACTAACTCGACCAACGGGATCAGGTGGTCAGACTCGCTGACTTGGTTGATGCATGTCATCGATCCCAATTGCGTGGATCGATGCTCATGATATCAATCACTGGATTGTCTTGTCCAGACTCGATTATTTACAGACCACCGTCATATGGAATATTGCTGAGTGCGGTGTTAACCAACCAACCATGCAACTAACCAACTAATAATTACCCTTTGTTACTAAAAAAAAAATAATATGGGAAAAAAAGTATTGGGCCTCCTTCACGTGAACTCTATATATCATGTTCTGTGTATCACATATTAATATCAAATTCCGGGGTAGAATAGGTCTTTAGCAACCCATGCTTGCCATTGGTTGGATGGTTGGTTTGTTGTTTAAGGCCGCACTCAGCAATATTCCAGCTATATGAGGGCGGTCTGTAAATAATCGAGTCTGGACCAGACAATCCAGTGATTAATATCATGAGCATCGATCCGCGGAATTGGGATCGATGACATGCATCAACAAAGTCAGCGAGCCTAACCACCTGATCCCGTTATAGTCGCCTTTTACGACAAGCATAGTCACCTTTTACGGCAAGCATGGGTTGCTGAAGACCTATTCTACAACAGAATCTTCACGGGTCTATGCTTGTCGTAAAAGGCAACTAACGGGATCGGGTGGTCAGGCTCGCTGACTTGGTTGATGCATGTCATCAATCCCAATTGTGTGGATTGATGCTTATGATATTAATCACTGGATTGTCTGGTCCAGACTCGATTATTTACAGACCGCCGTCATATAGCTGGAATATTTCTGAGTGCGGCGCTAAACAACAAACCAACCAACCAACCAAACATATTAATATCAACACTGACGCTCAGTGAAAGTGACTGCAAACTGCATTCTAAACCCCGCCACTTCTGAAAAATACGATAACCTTGATTCGTGGATATAAGGAAAGCTCACCCAAATTCGTGGTTTAAATGTCCGATTTTGTTTTGTATACTCACTGATCATTTAATGCATCTATTAAACTCTAAGAAAATGAAGAAGATTCCACTCGTGACTGAAAAGTTTGTCTACCGCAGCCATTTGCATTCATCAGCCATTCATGTGCACACAAAATGTAACGTCACCTTGATTCGTGGATTACGTAGTGGATTATTGTATCGCTATGTACGAAAGCCCAGTACCGTTACTGTGAAATATTTGTTTATGAATTCGAATCTATACCTACCAGCATTTCTGTGTCGGCTGATAACAGTTGAAGAGCATAGTTATTCAACACTCAACTCCAAAACGAATCTTGTTAATAAAGTTATGAACACTAATTACAGGTAAGTTTGCGTCCTCTTTCAGTCCCTACTCTTTCGATGGTTTGCATGGCGGACCATGGCAAGGGCAACAAAATGTGTCATGAGTCCGAAGCACGCGCACATGACAACAATACTGTAAGTGCACCCAGTGGGTACAGTCATGATACATGCACTGCTCCCACTGTACGAAAAACAGTGATGTGCATTGGGCCAGTTCAGCGGGCTGAAAGTGGTGACACACGCAACATGTTTCATCATTGGACATTGGCGAATCCTCAGTCACTGCTGTATAATAAATTAATCGCACCGGATGGTCCCGCTGCTGGCTCGGTGGTACTTTAAGGTTTCTTCTGAGATGGTTTAGCTGATGTATGTGACTTTGCTGGTCATTTCTTGGTTGGTACTGGCTATTTAGAAGTTGAACTTTTTACATACTAGGTTTTAACTTGAATTTCGATCTCTGGTTCAGTAATGGCTTTGCCGCTAACGGTCCTGTGGATAGATCTGCGTGATTGTTTTTGTTTCTTCTGAATGACGGGAAGCTGGTCAACAAAGAATTGGGTTTGGTCACAGTTAGTGACGAGATTCCCCTTCTCAAGGTTAGGGTTGTAACGTGGGCTGTGTACATCGTCAATAGCTGGTACTTGCTGCTACTTGTCTTCATCGTGTGCTGCGTGGATAAATTCAGCTGGTTGAAATGCAGATTTATCAGTCATATCTGGCGAAAAGGGATAGATTCCAGACTTTCTGAATGCCGACTGCAGGTGACCAGGCGTTAAAGCAGCAGAATATGCCCTGCAGGCTACGGAGGCGATGTTATATCTGTTGACTGTGGTACCATCAGACTTCAACAGCTTGTGACATTCGGCATTGTAACTTTTTGTATACGGACCGAAACATCCCACGTCCATTGGCTCCAAACTCGTGTGAGCCGGGAGGACAAACAACACAATATTGTGATCTTTTGCCCAGTCTATCAGAGACGGAGAAATGTGCGACTTGTGGCCATCGTACAGAAGGATGCCAAGGTCTATTCGGCGTTGCTGGAGATGCATATCGAAGGAAATGCCTGTCCAAGTAATCTTGGAATATAACACCACTTGACCCTCCCGATTCAGAAACAGTTCCGTCACTTCCCACTGTACAGCCTTCAAGCAATTCACTGCGCATACTAGCACCCGCAAATACAAAGAAAGGCGGAATAAATGTGCCAAGAGCGTTTCCACACCCCAAAAGTGTGACGACCGACGGTCTCTCCGAAGAAATCTCATAGGCCACGGATTTTCTTGAGCCAACAATTTTCAGTGCGACAAGGGACTGGTTGATTCCTTTCTCATCTACGTTATAAATTGCTTCTGGTCTTGATTGGAAACCGTATTTGTCCATAATCATCGCAAGTTCATCAAAATACTTGTTGATGCATTCCTCTGAAATAGCTTTGGCACGAAGTTCCGCGAGAGACTTGGCACTTCTAACTTTCAACTCCGGCCATCGCTCCAACAAACCATGCAACCACTTGACAGATAATGGATGGGCCAGGTCACGTTTTCCTAACTGACAAGCAAAGTTATACCCTAAGTGGATAACCTCTTTCCTGGTATATCCGTATCCGATGGATGCCATGTATGTTACATGGTCAACAAGTCTAATTTCTTGCTCCGCATAAAAAAATGGAGTCGCACCTGACTTAACTGTGTCAACATCGATCTTGTTTTTTTCCTGTCTCTCAGTGTTTGCTCGGGTACAGAGAAGTTTAATGCCGCTTTATGAACTGCAACTTTATTGTTTTTTACTTCTAAGTAAGCATTAGTCAAAGCTGTAGGCGAATAACTTTTGTATCCCTTTCGTGATTTGGTTGGTTTGTTGTTTTACGCCGCACTCAGCAATATTCCAGCTATATGACGGCGGTCTGTAAATAATCGAGTCTGGACCAGACAATCCAGTGATTAATATCATGAGCATCGATCCACGCAATTGGGATCGATGACATGCATCAACCAAGTCAGCGAGCCTGACCACCCGATCCCGTTAGTCGCCTTTTACGACAAGCATAGTCACCTTTTACGGCAAGCATGGGTTGCTGAAGACCTATTCTACCCCGGAATCTTCACGGGTCTGGCGTCGGTGTACCCTATGAAAATGAATAAAAAGCTATACGAGATTGTTAAAATTAAAGATATATGGAAACATTTTCGGGCAGACTGCAGGACCTCAAGTAATGTGACTTATGTTTATTGCCATCTAGACAAGCAGACGACGAGAGGTGAGAAGGGTGGTGCTTACGGTATATATTTTGTATTTTGAAAATTGGTATTAGTGATCTAGGGCTTTTTATCTCAATGTTGGACATTTGGTTTTTCTGTACTTACGTGTAACGCAGCGATTCGGAACATTTTTGTCAGCAAGGCGTGGCAGTGTGTGTACATCAAAAGTACCGCTGTGTGACGTTATACGAGACTCAATTTACGAAATATCACGATAATTACCACGATCCACGAATCAAGGTTATCCACGAATTTAGGTAACGGTTCTAAATCATTTGACTATCTGCATGTACGGAAACATATCAACTTGCGGAGACTGCTTTTGAAACATTACCTTACCTCATCCGATTTCACAGATCAACTATCTAGTTCCAGTTGCTGCACAATCACTTGGTTGTAATATGTCCAGAGTGAGCTTGAACTAAGATGGCTGTTGACATCAAATCTTCCGCGATAATGTGACGTCATTCTGACGTCACTTCAAGAGGCAACAAGGCTTTACTTTTCAGCAGTCGCTCTCACGCCGCAAAAAATGCGCACCAATTGTTTAAAGTGTAATATTGGTTGTGACAACATTTAGAATACAGATTACTTCGCGAATAGATATAGATGTGTATGTTTCAAAAAAATAAAACTAGGAGATGGTAGATCTACAAGTGGTTTCCCAAACACTTACAAAAACGTGTTGTAATGTCCAAAGCACAACGTTATTTTGCAACGTTGTTACGTTGTGGAATAACGTTACAATGTTACGTAATACTAACGTTGGCAAAGAGAGACGCAATTACGTTCTGAAAATTTTAGTATTAAGAGATGAAAATTCAAATGCAGAATATATAGAAAGGTAATGCATTACTGCCTTGGTATTCTGACAAATTCAGGTTGATTTTGATAATGCAATTCTATTCCTTTATGACTATCAAGAAGCAAACTATAACGTTTCACCGACGTTTCAGAAACGTAGTTACAAAACGTTATGTGAAGTCCGATGCACAACGTTTTTACAACGTAAATGTGCAACGTTGTTATAACGTTGTGAAATAACGTTGCACGTTGACGTTATAATAACGTTGTGACAACGTTATATCACGACGTTACCAATCCACAACTTACCACAACGTTGTGACAACGTCGTGTGTAAGGTGGGGTTATACTCCAGAGGATCCAGAAGATCAACAAGATTGGTCCTTGAGCCACCTCCTTCTGGGAATACGCTCTTGGCAAGTATCATAAACTTGATGAACAGAAGACTATTTGAAAATTAAGTGAATTGCGTCAAACAAAATATCAAAAACTTCATACACAGGGCTTGACATGACCAGCCGATTGACAGAACCAGGCCCATTCTACCACCCGTCCCGGTGAAGTCAGGGACAAAGTGGTATGTTGGTCAAAAGGAACACTGTTCCTGGCTCCTGTGCCCTCATCAAGCCGAAGACCCGGGTTCGATTCCCGACATGGGTTCAATGTGTGAAGCCCATTTCTGGTGTCCCCCGTCATGATATTTCTGGAATATTGCTAAACGCGGCGCAAAACCGTACTCACTCACCCACTTCTCGCGCAAACCCCCTAAAAAAAGAGAAGAAGATGAGTGTATAGATATACAAGAAATGTACAAAAGAGAGACTAGTATATTTACATTAAAGTTTTACCCAAATCTCTTTGTATGACTTATAAACATTTACACTGCCTTAAAGATATGTTGATTTTCAATAATGGACAAACATCCTTTTCCGTTTGACATCAAACGTAAATCTTATTTAACATTGTTGTTCACGGCGTTCTGTAAAATGTCCCGAATTATCATTAACATAGATTTTCTTTGGTGGACATACCATGGACACTCTAAAAAATAATTAAATGCGTTTTCACATGGATTACCACATTAAATATTGGATCACATTTTATCTCTATTCTGTATAAATCATAATTTAAGCGAGTATGATAAATATTCAACTTTCTAACACCATAGGAAAAATATACCTTGCTCTTTTTGTATGTATGACCTGAATTTGGATGTAGATGTACAATTTCTACCTGCTGCCGGAATAGTGTTCCATAACCTTACAGTTGATGGAATAAAATAATATGTTGAGTGTTTTCATCAAGTATATGAAATCACAATATTGTCTGAATTTCTTAAATTATATGATACATTTGAACCTACAGTGGTTGGTACAATGTCTTAAAGATACATTTGGGCAATATTACTTTGTATTTTGTAGAACAAACATAGCTTACGTTTCCTCATTCGTTCTATTATCGTTTCCCATCCTGTTGCATAATACAGATGTTTGTGCCCAGTAACTATTCTGGTTGCTTCTAGTTGGAGATTTTCTAACTAAGTTGATAACTCCACATTACACCCATCCCACACTTCACACGCATATTCGAAATGGGGTCTTATGAAAATTGTATATACTTTATTTAATTATTTCTGTTCAATGTGAACTTTGAACATTCTTAACTTTACATTCATGAAAGTACATGGTGATAAGGTTTGATTCATCTTTTAATGAAAATTTAACCGCATCTGTTTTATCTTTGTCAGCAAATTTAGTGACATATTTTCTATTAGATTTTTCTTTATAAATAAATGTAAAAAATTGCTGTCAATTGATGGTTTTTCTGCCATGTTCACAGGTACTCTGAAGATACCCCTCTATCTGATGTACCAGTCTTGGAGACTTGGATGTCTGGGATGAAATTGAACGAAGTTTGCGACGTCTTTTAAATAATCCCACAAGGGTGAAGGAACTCTGTCTTATCGTTCCACAAATATGGAACCTTTCACTTTACAAGATTGGTTGATTATAGTAACAGCAACAAGTTACCCTCACATGGCTTAGCACAAATATATTTCACTGAAGATCACAAGAGGTAGTTTGAGTATCCATAATCTGTGCCAAGTAACATATCCACACACCGACAGTGTTCACAACTAGATCCTGGATCACACTGTCACAATGCAACTGATTATCTCAACATTATGTCACATGTCCACACGTAACACATACCAAGCTAATCAGCCTCACAACATGCACTGCGCAATTATCGCGGCATTAGGCTACACACCATCTGCTTAGAACACATGAACCAAAATTCGTCCCAATCTCCTGGTTGCATGATATTGGACGAACATGGAATCTGCACCGCTACTTGAAGACAGGGATAAAGACAAGTCTAAAGTGGGAAATCTACTCAAGGCTAACGTTGTGTTTCTTGTTTTTCAAGTGGCTGTCAATATCCGCAATCCACTGGTAACACAATATCTTTACAAGAGGTACTCCGATGAGGAGTTCAATAACAGCACAGGGCATGTCAACTCTCCTAACCAAACATCCCAGTGTTACGTCAATGAATCGGATCCAGGATATATGCTACAGGAAAAGGTTCAAGAAAATACTTCGAACTGTCAAACGATACTGACAGTTATTGGAAGCTCCGGAGCAGTAATCAGCTGCATGTTTCTCGGGGCATATTCTGATTTTCTTGGTCGACGGGTCCTTTTCATAGCACCTTTAGCTGGAGTGGTTGTGAAGTTTTGGTTGACGACAGTTGTTATTTACTGGAATCTAGATGTGAGATACCTGTACATTGGTGAGGCACTTCAAGGTTTTTCAGGGGGATACAATGGTGTGATTCTAGCTAGTTATGCCTACACAGCTGACAACACACCACCGAAGAACTCACGGACAGTATGGATCGCTGTGATAGATTTCACCACCTACCTGGCTGCTGCAGCTTCTCAGGTCATTACTGGATACTTCATCAAAAACCTAGGCTATCTCTACCCCTCTGTGACTACTGCCTTACTCATGCTTCTGTCTCTCGTCCTTGTCGCTGTTCTTCTCCCGGAAACTATCAACTCAGATAGAAGATCCCAATACCCAACTCCAGTGAAAGCAGTGAAAAATGTCTTTGGATTCTACTTTTCAAAAGATTTTGGACCAAAGGGAAGCCTTTTCTTGCTCACACTTGCATCATATTTGATATTATATTTCAGTCAGAGTGGTGTGTATTTTGTAGAATATCTTTTCCAACTTAACCTGCCTTTCTGTTGGGGCCCAGAGCTCATCGGCTATTTCAATATGGCATTGTCCCTAACAAGACAATTTCTAGGGATTCCAGTCATCAAACTCCTCCATCTGTGCACCTCCGATCCAGGAATATGTATCATAACATCTATCATACAGGCGGGAGCCTATGTCCTACACGGCCTGGCCAACACTGACGTCTTGCTCTTCTCTTGTAAGTCACCATCGCAGTAAATAACATAAGTTAATGGTAATACTTCTGACAAATGTGTGAGTTGATAAAAGGATATCTTGTTTATTATATAACTCAATATATTTTCAGAACAAAAGGTATATATTGACATTAATTATACTTTTCTTTTGTTTAAAGAATATTGTTTGTTGCAGTTGTTTTGCCCAATGCTATTGCAGGCCCTTTGTTTCCGGCACTGCGGGCTATCATGTCGAGAATGGCCCCTGCTGAAATGCAGGGTGAGTATGCAGATAGTTGTGGATGGCCAAGCTCATCATCAAAAGATATCCATCTTCTGGCATTCATTTGTGTTCTTTAAAAAGTGTGGTTATCAACGTTTTTATATAACTGGTATAAACATAGCAAGAGAGGATCCCATGCTACCAACATTCAAATGCATATGAAACAACAAAGACAAAGAGTGGGACAGCTTTAATGTTTTGAATGGCATATTGTGATAATAAAGTGGGCAGTGCAATCACATTTTTCAAAAAAACAACGAAGCCGTTTTCATAATCATTAGGGTTCATTTTATGATTACGTCTATATCATAAATCACCACTTAACTCAAATTATGTAAATACTAGTCAGTAGCAATCTTTATCAAACACATTTTCTACATTTCTTAGAGTTGTTAATTTAACAAATGTCCTGTTAGTCACGCATTTAAATATATATACTCAACAACAAAAGTTCCTGTGACACCAATATTTTAGTGTATTTTTCAAACAAGTAGAGTTGAGTTGTCAATATTGTAGTACATCTATGGAATCAAGTCACAAAAACGCAACTCCTACAGAAAAGCATGCATTCCATGCAAAAGCTGACTTTTATGCAAGCCCCATTCATTCACTACCTAAGAATGGGTATAAAAACATGTGCGTTAACGGGATTCCATATGCATTGTTCAGCATCGTGCTGACATCAACCACTTAGAATAACCAAAAAAACCGCAATGATTCAATTATAAATATTATTCAATGTCACAGGAACTTTTGTTGATCAGTATAAAAGCAACAAAGCCATCTCCATAATCATTAGGGTCCATTGTACGAGTCCAACTATATCATACACGTGTGTTTATCAATCAGTATCAAATAGTGATGATAACCTAGGGAGCACAAAAAGGCAAGCGAATCCCTCGTAACACGCCACAAACACATTGCATTATTTGGGTCACTAATATGTTGGATACCTTTTTGAAACCTGTTTTCTATTCCTTGTATACAAACCATGCATGTCCAGCAGTGTAATTCATTCGCATGGAAAGGAAGACATAAGATTTAACAATTAAGCTGACGAAACACGAGGTATTAATTAAGGTGCAACTGTATGTTTCACAATTACCCTGATTTTTGTAGCCTCCATGTGGAGGCCATATTGATCGTGATTACTTTCATAATGCAGCTTGGAATATCTATAACAGTAACCCTGCAATCTGAAACTTAAACTGTACAATATATACAAGGGGATAACAATAATAATATACAAGATGCTGCAACTCTTTCTATAAAATTCGAGTAATCAAAATGCTTTCTATATTCATTTGTTAAACAATGTGCACCGATTATTTATAAAAGAAAGAGACTTTAACAGCAACAACATTTTGGTGAAAAATTTCGAAACGCTGATCTTGAATTTGTTCCTTTATTCATCAGGCGATTGCTGTTCCCAAACGCATGTACATGCAGTACATTGTTGACCGTTGTTTTCAGGATCACTGTTTGCAGGTATTGTACTGGTGAACATCATCTCAGAAGGTATAGGGATACCAGCTTTCAACGAGATGTATAATGCCACTGTGAGGATACTCCGTGGCTTCGCCTTTTTCGCCTGTGCGGGATGCCAACTGTTGTCTGCAGTTATCATAGTGTGAGTGAAAGTCTAGTTGTGTGTATGGAACTTTCTGTAGCCATCCCAAACATCTGATGGTCTCTATGTCTATTTTCAATATTTTCGTATATTTACAGTTACAAAATGGGTGGTACCTATGTTGTATTGACGTTTGTAGTGGAAGTATATTTGGTACCAAAAGTAGACAGAAGAGTATTATTTTCATCTTGCATACTGTATCCATTGAGATGCATGCGAAAGGTTAGCGATCATATTTGCCTCTTCGTGTAAAGGAAACAACTGTGATATTAAACAACTGCCTATTCATGTGTTACAGAGTGTTCCTGTGTACATCCCGCCGCGTCGTTGACACTGATACCTCCACTGGTGTTGGCATCAACGACGACTGAAAGCCAGGCCCCATCATCCCCCACCAGGACAAGTCTATCACCGACACGATGATGTAGTGTCCTTGGCTGATGTTTTCGACTGTGGAATGAGGATGATACTGAGGCATTGATATTCAAATGACGCTGCATGTACTACATGGGCCCTATTAGTTCGGGAAACCCGCCTTTCGGATCATAACTGTCGTTAACGTTGGGGTGAAGGGAGTGTGTGATGGTGGAGTGAGGTTCGTGATGTTGCAATCATGACTTTATGTGTGCACACACCGTGTGAAACTTGAAACAGACAAAAATGACATGATCAGTATCTTATCTTTAACACGAAGTACATAGTGTGACACCCAACATACAGCTATCTCAACTATACAGCAAACCAGTATCACAAGTAGCGAGACGTCGCACCTTGGATGAGTTTCCATTTACATAGAAATTAATTTTATAATTATTTCAGGACTGATTAGGATGAAGGTTGGAATACAAACATATCTCAATTTGAATAGGGTATAAATTGTTTTAAAGAAAAGTGAACGATGCTGATGACGGTCATATCCAAATATATTTTGAGAAGGAACCAGTTGAGAAATCTTTATGGAATTATTCCATTGAAAATAACATTAGGTGCATGGAAATTAACAACACTAAAAGCACATTAAGATACTTTGCACATTGGTAAGTAACAAGTATAAGAAACATGAAAAGAAAACGAGACAATTTTCCATTTCCTCGAGGCCGCCACGACAGATAGTCTTGTGACATCATCTACACATCGATCGAAACGTCAAACATCAATGTCCCGTGTTAGGAGCTCGAGTGAGTGAGTTGCCTCCCCTTCGCTTGAAACTTGTCTCCCTTGATTAGTATACCTTCAACCGCCTCACAGCTGTAGCTCGTTTGCTGCCAACTGTCACAGCTCCCTGCTACGCTGGACTCCACAACATGGAGTTAAACTCGCAGCCTGACCGTTTTGTTTACAAACAAGTCATGACTGTCGTGACGCTAAATATTTTTCATTGCTAAATTGCTAAATTAGTTTGTCAATTTCATTTCAACTATCATATAATTGGTACAGGATAGTTGTAAGGAGAAAGTTGCAGTGCTTTTCCGTGTGTCTACAATCTCAAATCTGATTACAAAAACAACGTAAATTCATCTGGGAAATAGTAACTCAGTAGTTGATGCACCCAATTATACCATCTATTATTGCACGTGTTGAAGTATGTTAAGGGTGATTTTTCTTTCTGTTACTATACATGGAGTTGACTCATGAAACATCAAGGTCACCGTAGTTTTAATAATGCAAGTGTCATGGAAAATAAATATATACCTTGGAGACAAAAATGATAACGTCTTTCATTGTGAAAACATTTTGTTGATTGTTCTATGGTCATATCAGTCTTGTGGCTTCAAATTTCATCAGGAACACTCATCTATCAAAGCATTAATACTACAGGCAGGATAGGCATATCTTCAGAATTAGATCCTCAGCAAGAAATTAAAAATACTTTACGGAAGCAAAAACACCCATGACTTTTTAAGTGCCCAGTTAACATTTTGTCTATCATTTTCTGTAACTAATTCGACAATGCATTACATATGAGATTGTAAACTAGTGACAAGTGTCTTCTACAAAAGCAAATTAATCATCTGGAATGTTATTGCAAAGATTGGAATTTCTCTGTCAACAAGAACAAGACAAAAGTTATTGTTTTTAAAAATTGAGGTACACTAGCTAAAAGGGAGCAATGGTTTTATCAAGGACATTCATTATATGTTGTATCGTTCTATAAGTACTTAGGTGTATATTTTACAAACAGATTGTCATGGAAGATGATCCAAATTGGAATACTTCAACATACGAAAGTTCTTGGAAATATAACCTATAATAAATTCTTATAAATTTTCGATACAAAAGTAAGCCCAATTTAGGTATATGGGGTTTGGGGATTAGAATAATTGATGTTATGGAAAAAGTACATTTATATGCATGCAAAAGATTCCTTGGTGTGAAACCTAGTACGTCTAATCTAATGGTCTATGGAGAATGTGGACAATACCCATTAACTATTTTTGCAAAGTTAAAGACGATAAAGTACTGGATCAAATTAGTTAAAATGCCTGTAACAAGATATCCAAAGAAATGTTATAACATGTTATTACTCTATGATCAACAAGGACAGACTAACTGGGCATCTTCTGTTAAGCGTCAACTTTATTCATGTGGTTATGGTAATATATGGACAGAACAGGATACGTTTATACCTGGACACTTCATAGATGCTTTCACTCATACCCTGAAAAATATGTACATTCAAAATTGGCATTTTTCCTTATCATTTATCCAAGAAACTATCAAGCTATTCCCTCTTTCAAAACAGTTTCTGTGGAGAGCATTACTTTTTAGATGTGACACTAAAACATTTCGAATTGCACTTGAAACTCTTTAACGTGAGAGAACACAGAATTTGTCAGTTTTGTGATTTAAACACTGTAGAAAGTGAATACCATTTCTAACTATTTTGGGGGCGGTCGGGTAGCCAAGTGGTTAAAGCGTTCGCTCGTCACGCCGAAGACTCGGGTTCGAATCCCGACATGGGTACAATGTGTGAAGCCCATTTATGGTGTCCCCCGACGTGATATTGCTAGAATATTGCTAAAAGCGGCGTAAAACCAAACTCACTCACTCACTCTTACTATTTTGTCCGTTGTATGCTGAACACAGAAAACAGTTCATTGATTAATACCATATCCGTTACCCAAGTTTACAGAAATGTGTTACATTAATGTCAATTAAGAATGTAGTAATGACGAAATAGCTGACAATGTACATACTGCATGCTATGAAGCTGAGAAGTTCCAAATGTGTTACCTTATAAATGTATATACATCCATTACTATATAACAAGTACTATAGGCCTAAGGCCTCCCAGTATTATGAATAAACACACATATATATGACAAGTGTTTCCCAACTGCTTTGAGAAGTATTTTCCTTACATCATGGCGTGTCATTTTGATGTGGGAATAATGACCGAAGCAATTTTAAAATTGTGGGGTTTTTTTTGTTTAACACCACACACACACACACCACTAGTCCAGCTATCTGATATCAGCCTGTAAACAACTGATTCTGAACCGGGCTGGGTTTTAGCTGCTTTGACATTATTATACATGCCAAATATACCTTCATTTTTTTCAACAAATGTCAAAGAGTTTTTCCGTCTTGAGGTCAGCAAGGTTGAAAACATTTCAACAACAACCTAGGAAACAACAACAACATAAATTTGTTTTGCAGTCATAACGGTTATAACTGGTATGAATATATAATTTACAGTCCATAACTTTATTTGCAAACAAAATACCTTACCATTGTAATAATGATTTTGCTAGGGACACATTTGATCAGGATATTTTTAAGATTTCAGCAAATATGTTTAGGACATATTGGGTGACAAAAAGTTTATGTCCTAGAATATGAACCGATCTGAAACCATGATGCCAACATGACACCACCAGCAATTTGCGTTGACAATACTTACATCACACAATAACAATAGATTAGTGTCATGGCATTTACGTATATCAACAATCATGCAGGGTGCTTCGTATTGAATTTGATTAACATGCTTATGTCGAACCATAAACATGATAAAGATATTACAAATAGTTTACATTAGATTTATGTTAATATTTATATCATTTCAGTTAACTGTAAAATTAATCAGACAAGAAAAGTCGTAGAAATGTACTTATGTTACCTTTCCCCCCAAAACCTGGTGAGCACAACTATTTTTAAAATACCTTTTTAAGTGTCCCTTTTCTCACACACCCCTCTCTCATCCCGTCTGTTAGCTTCTCTTTTACCCCCTAACAATCTGTTTCTTAAGTCTTGGTCTTGGCATACAACCTGAAAATAAGTGACTTCATGTAATTATTTACAAAAGAAATCAATTAACAAGTCATTTCGAAATTGCTAATTCAATAAATGCAGGTTTATATAGGTATTTCCTTAGTCACAGGATGGTTTTTTTTAGATTTCAAAACTTACGTAAAATTATTCTGCCTTAAGGTATACATACTTGCTGACAAACAAATTGGCACTTAACTGTGAACTCGTGATTTCTAAAACAATGTATATACATTTAGAACAAGCACAAAGTACAGCATAATAAAATAAAACTCCGATGCAGGACTTTCCTACAAAAACTTTAGAGGAGGGGTTCGTAAGAATGACTTGTGGTTGGAAATGTAATAAAACATTGGTTATAAAAACGTAAGAATAACAATCGATTTTTCTGTTTTAGTGAGTGAGTGAGTTGGGTTTAACGCCGCTTTTAACAATATTACAGTTATATCGCGGCGTGTCAGCTTAATGTGGGAGGAAAACCCGAAGTGATGCAGGTCTCAGACGTTTACCACTTCGGTGAAACCCACGAGCACGGTTATGGTGCCGACAAACCTTGAAACATAATCGGGGCGAATCGGGATTCGAACCCACAATCATAGGTTTCGGGCGCGTCCGAAGGGACGCAACTCTGCACAGCGAATCGCGGCGCCTTAGACGACTGGGCCACCCGTGCCCCTTTTATGTTTTTAAAACGGGACACCTTCTCTTATAATGGACTAAATTCCAAGTATACTATAACCGACTTCATAAACAGCGTATGTGCACGAGTGCAAGTCACGCGCACCAGTGTCTAGTTTCATTCACACGGACGGCATCATGAGACGACATTCGGATCTTATTGTGACGTGAGGTAGGAATGACGACACATCAAGAAACAACGTCATAGCTGAAGGCTGTTGGCATCATGCGACAATTGTGCTTTTCTAAGTCGTGATCAGTGATTTTTTTGTAAAGGGGAGATCGAACGGATTAAGAAGTAATTAATGTGAAGGTTGATGACGTGCAGCCAGTGCTAATGTTGTGCAGCCACCGATCATTTCCTGGATACTGAGTGGCATTTGGGATTAAAAAGTGTGATTTCCCACATCCCGGTGTCCCTTCAGCTCGGTCTGTTTGAACACCCCACAGCTTGACATAGTGGCATGTTCAAAAACAGCACACAGTATCAGCCTCAATCCACTCACTGGCCCGCAATACTGAAACATGGACGCATCATGGACGAGCGTCAGTGTGACATGTTTAGTGACATTATTTTCTCTTAAATCTCTGAAAATAAATATGCACAATACGATGGGTTATTACTTAAGAATAGATGCTGAAAATTCTAATCTATGCACCATCAAAGTGGTCTGAAACGTATATCATTACAGTACAATTTGTACTTTTTGTATAACATAATTATGAAGATAGTAATTTAGAGTCTATTCATGCAGTACAGAGGCCACAAGCCCATTATACAGTAAAACAGTGTTACATTGAGTGAAATGGGGGAGCACCTTCAGCGACAATTTTAATAATTGCAAAGTTGGGTCTAACAACCTTTGCACGTTTCTTGAAAGCTAAACATGAATATTTAGCTGTACAATGATATCTTGTGAATTATGTGATGAACACATAAGTTTATATATTTTTTTTACAAGTAGGGTTATTATATGAATAACAAGCAATGATTCTTTTTCTTTTAGCCCTTCATGAAAAGGGTACTGTTTCAACACCAGGTACAATGCATAGTGAACAATATCTTTCACTACGCAACATACTATGTTTTCCACCCATTTCAACCATAAGTGAAAAACGATAGGATGTTACCGTTATATATGATAAGTACATTTCTTTACAAATATGAGGTTTAATAGTACAAAAGAAATCGAGTTTAGAAATAGAGCATATCTTTTCAAAATAGTTTTGTTCATTAATACCGATGCACCTTGTTTAAAGATGGAAACAAATTCAGGAGTTAAACAATATTGATTATCCCACGTTAAACCAAGACCATACTTATATGACAACTCTTTTACATTTAATGTCTATCATTTAATTCCTAACGTAGCCACATTACGCTGATATAAGTATGCCTCTTGTATAATGTTATTTTCAGTTTGAGTAACATGCCTTATCCAAATTTGTATTATTTTCATAAATGGCTAACCTTTATGGAGTTTATCTACCCAGCTCTCCTCGAACTGCGATGCTTGGAACTGATCTTTTAAGATTTAAGATGTCTGTGTGTAAAAACGACCATGAACATTAAGAATATCTCGAGGAAGAACATTAAGAATATCTCGAGGAAGAGGAAATCCCCAGATTGGCGAGATCTTAATGTCAAAGATATGTAAGAGTACACCAACTGGTAGATTATAAAAACCTCTAATTCTATTTTTCAAAGTATTTCTAATCTCTGTGGCTTGTGAAAGTGTTGCTGGGTTGTACACCAGATCCCGAATGATGACAGATGAACTCCTAAATATTTATAATTTGGGACAATTTCAACATATTCCTCCCCAAGAAAAAAACTTTTCACAATTACGTAAACGCCCACCCCTCCTAAAGACAATAAATTTACTCTTGTTATTGAAATACTCAATTTTCTTTCATTTCAATAAACAACTAATTCATTTCATCGTTTTTGCATTTACAGCACTGTGCTCTCTATTAAGATTTTGTCATCAGCACAAAAGTAGAAAATATCATTCTAGTATATCATATTGTATAAATATTTGGTTATCTGTATTCAAGAATTCTTATACAACCAAAAAGAAAAGAAAAGGTCATAATTGGTGTCCTTGACGCACCACAGAAAACTAGTGACTGTCCTACGTCGAAAGATAAACAGGATTTAAAATCACTGTGCATATTTTTGAGTTTGCGAAAAGTATTACCTTTAACATTGCCAAACATAACAAAATGTTCTTGTTTTCGTCCAATTATTAAGCCTTCAGCATAAAATCGTAGCGAATATTTTGCCCCATATTTCTAACAATGGTATTTGTCTAAAACTACATGGTTCATCTCGAATGCTCTTTTCTAAATATGAACAATTACAGATAAAGGCCTTGCTATAGAATGAATACCTGTCGATAAAATAATGTTAAATAAAAATGTAAGCATTTCAAGACAATGTTAGGTGCATGCTTAAGGAATTTTATTGGTAAGTCCTAGACATAGAACAGAATTCGTGTTCTTTTTCACACTGAAAATCATTTTGAAAATCAGTTTTACTCTATACAAACTGAAATATCAAATTAACCAGGTTGTGGATATGGTTTACATTTAAAATATTCGAAGAAAATTTAGTGTTTGTGGTTGTAAGTGCCATATTGATACCATCGTATAAGTTTTCAACATAGACCTGTTTTTTAGCACATAAGAAATTGTACATTGGAATATACTTAGTATGCGTCTAGCCATAGATTCGCACAATTTGCATTTAAAAAATAAGTATTAACAACCTGATCCCGCACAGCAGCACTTCAGTCATTTGACAGCGGCCTGTAAACAAACCAAACAATCAAGTGATATGGAATTCCACGCACCGGGCCTTTCTCGAAAGTTCAGTGGTCCCCAATACCAGCCCATCTGTGCACAGCGTGGACACGGTCACAACTGACAGTGTGAACCTCTTTGTGTAACATGGTTTATTTCTAATTGGAATGAGGGACTGTTGCTCGTCACCTTACCCTCAGACCGTGTTCCATCCACGGCGGTGAAATGTGTTTTGGTCCATTGTCTTTGTTATTATTTTGTCACAACAACTTTTGCTTTGAGTATATGTAATACATTAAAGTATGCATCATATTAAATATGGTGTTACAACACTCTTTCCACTTTCATTAAAGATAAAAGACACAAATGTCATATTATACGCATGACAATCCCATTTGTTTCACTCATTTCGTCTGCAATTGAATATGTTTTTAATTGAACATCAAAACAAAATATAAAGTATGTAGTTTATCATAAATGCCAGCAACACGTTACCCACACATGTCATCACGGGGGCGGTCGGGTAGCCTGGTGGTTTTAAAGCGTTCGCTCGTCACGCCGAAGACCC